TGAAGAAGCATGGCAGCGCAAAGCGTAGCGTGTTGTGCGCGAGGGTTTGGAAAAGCACGTATGATGATTACCAGGATGGTCCTGCTAGGTATGTGGGCGGCAGCACTGCCCCGATGTGTGTAATTAATCTGGAAGCTGGCATCTGATTCTCGAGAGGGCGAGCAGGATGAGAAAATCCGGGGTTTTGAAGCTTACGGGGCTTACGTCCGGGTCCAGCGTTTGTTTAAACTGGAGGACTTGACTGCGGAGATTGACAAGAAAGCTGACAGCAGCAAGTGTCGGTGCTCAATTGCTGCTCAGAGATCGGTCGGTCTGCTGTTACTTTGTATGGTCAGCTTGGATCGGCGTACATGCAGAGCAGACTACTTGTCTTTGCCATGTGACATCCGCCGTTCTTCGGCTTATGAAACCACAAACTATCTTGAAGCAGTTGGAAACAGCGGGATGTATGTGAAGGCGGTGGTTTCTGCCGGACCAATGTTAGGCCTACCTTCGCTGCTGTGCAAAAGCGACTCACATTGAGGTGACCAAACTGACCTAAGACAGGCTATGCTCAACAGCAAATCCTGGTGACTCCATGCAGGAGACGAATCTCTCCAAACTTAACAGACTTCCTCAATACTGCAGAAGACTCCTTGTTTCATCAGCTTATCATAGAAGTATAGAATCGCCGCGTCGCGCCTGCCCAGGATAGATTTGCTGGTCTCTCAGGTGGAGATCCTCAGCGATGCTGAAATCTCAGAATTAGAATGCGTTTAGGGGTCAGGGGCTCTTGCCTCGGCTAGTGTACGGGAACGTCTCGATAAGGATTCAAGGCTTGCCGGAGTAGTCCGACAGGACAGAAGTGCATTAAGCATCCCTATTCAGAGATCCAATTGGGAATCCAAACCCACCAATCCCTCAGCCCTCGCCCCTGCCTTGCATCTCCGGCTTCGCTTGGGGTTCCATCTGCTCTTGCTCATCGTCGGGAAATCCTCGGCGTGAGGAGTCACGTTTACACATTGTGGGGTATTTGGCTTTCTGGATAGGTCATGAGTTCGATAGTTCTTTGAATTCAGCCTTGTATCGTGTGCAACGGCACTGCGAGCGAATTTTATCCGGAACATGCACTGATCGAAATGGCTGGGACCCGTTTCCATTCACTGCTCTGTGTTTTCGCATGTGCCGTGCTTGCGTGATTGGTGCCTTGGCGCAGATGATTTTAGGGCGCAGGGTCCACGCTTGTGTTTCACGCTGGGCACCACGAGCCTCATCAGGCGAAGTCCGAATACGTTTCAACCACGGGACTGGAGCAGCAGCCTTATATAATTTCTGCATGTCCGAGGTCATAACTCCCAAGCTCAAGCGCGGTGCTGGTGGCAGGTCGGACTTGAGAGGGGGGGATTTAATGTCGGGTTTCGGAGTAGGCTTATGTAAGATTGAAAGTCAACCACGAGTCTTGTCCCGGGCTGATAGGAGGTTGCTGGACCTTAAGCACCTTGCAAAAAAAGAAGGTTCGATCATGTTGCCGTGCTCTTGCAGCCAGCACCAGGTCTTGCAAGTAAGGTGCTTTTAGTGCTCCCTCGTTTGAGGCCGGGTACGGCGAAGAAGAAGGGCTTCGGAAAAGCCGAGACGACGGCGTGCCTTGTCGGAGAAGCAGAAGACGGAGAGTTAGACAGAGGCAGGTAGGCTGACAGACACAACGGCCGCACCATGGACAGAGACACAGATGGCGGTGCAAATGTTGTATTCGTGTACAGTATCGGTACGGCTTGTGGTTTTTATGTTTATCCGTCTCTGGTTTCGGAGCAAGCAAGCGAGCAAGCGAGATAGCAAGCAAACCAGCAGGACAGCCGGCCAGCAAGTTCCTGAAGACTCTGATTCCTCGAGGTTGAATCCTGCAATCCCGAAGTCTTCAACGCCTTGATCTTCCATCATAGCAGTGAGTCCCAATCAATTCTGTATCAAGAAGATGTTTCAGAGTCTGGATGCGGGAAGAGTTCGTCTCGTGCGTATGGGATCTCAACTCCCAGGCCCCCGGAGCATGCCAGCCGCGAGACGCAGTGACCAAGGCTGTGTATCCGCGCCAGACGTTGAGTGTTGGGGGCCCCCAGCCGCAAGCCCAAAACCATCCACCCCAAAACTCTTCAGTCAGGATTATCTTCGACATTTGTCGGTAGCATTGGTAAGGAAGTTTGTCACGTGGGCTCCGGCCGTGTGTTTTTGCTTTGTGTGGTCAGTGCTGTGTTAAGTAGTGGTACCTCTCCTTGCGATGATTGGCGGTGAGCCAATTTGGACATGAGCCTTTGGTTCCTGTAGTTTAAGATGTATAGATGGGGTGAGGCAGTGGAGGGATGGCTCCAGCGCGGGAAAGCGCTTGAGCTGACTTGTCTTGATTCCTGAACAGATGCAAAGGACTCAGACTAAGTCGTCTCCTGGGTGTTTAGGTCTAGGCCTGTAGGCTTTGTCATGAGACACAATCCGCAGATCTTCGGAAGTCTTGGAACATGGCTGAGTTGCTGAACCTCCAACACCGGAAAATGTGAGCTTGGAAGAGGAAGCATGCATCGAGGAATTCGTCGTTGTTGGGCCTTTGACCGAGCGGAACACTCATCTAGCATATTGGAACTGGGCAAGTGTTGAGGCTTTCAAGATTAATCGGATCATCGTCGGTTGGTAGAAGAACCTTTGGTACTAGTGGCCGTGGAATAGAGTCTAGAGTCTAGATGCAGCCAGCTAGGGAAGTATACCTGCAGCAGACCTGAGACGTTCCGAGTTCTATCGGCTCTTAGTAGCTGAAGTGTTAGCGTACACCTTGATTGCAAACTGTGTAGGGCAGGCCGATTTCCGCATATTGAGGCACCGTGGAGGTTCGGGGATCGGAGTTATTGTCTTCGAATGCGATGGAACCGGAAGCTTGAGCCGAAGCCCTTGGCGACATGTATGGAGTTTCTGATCATGACGGATGGCTCCTGCGGCAGTCTGGGCGCACTGCCCGCCAGATCGCGGCGAGCACAGATGTCTTGCGCTGAACGCAGGGCATCGGTTTGCTGTAGGAATTTATGCCGATGGAGCTCAGGATGTTAGCGGTGTCTGTTTGTGGTCAACTGCCGAGAGGCCTTCCGTCCTTATGCCAGCGCCATCCATGGAGGTTAAGACAGCCTCTTAGAGAGTCTCATGTGGGGTTGTTCTGAACTCAGCTGTAAAATCCTTAAACTCGACAATGCTCTGAAGCTACGCGCAAAGCATAGCTAAGCCCTAGGCCCCAAACACTGGGAAGTTAAGATTGGAACAGCAACTGTATCAACACACTGGTTGGGAACACTCCCTGTGCAACTGTTGCTTCTGAATGTCGAAGCAGCCCATGGGTCCGTTGGGGACGGCCGTCTTGCCGGCACCTTGTTCGGGAACTCTATCAGGTTCAATCAGACTCAGAGCCTTGACCCAAACTCCTGCAGCAAGGCCCGAAACTTTGCAACCGCTTGCAGCTTGAACCTTAAAGGCCCTATCCCTACACTCGGGCCTTTGAAGTGGACCTGTGCACTCTGAGCCAATGGCCAGCGGGCGCGCGAAGAAAATCACAACCCTGGCAGTTCTAAAGAATGCTGCATGAACAATGCAAAGTTACATCAATGACAATGGTCACCGCGCCGTCTTAACTACAGCCGAATTCTGCAGGGTTTGTTCTCATTATCATCACCACACAATAGGAGTTGCTATATGACGATAAGAATAGCAACGCTTGCATGTTCTGTAATGAGAACAGCGAAGCCGGAGAGATAGAGGAAGAGCGAGACGGAGAGCTGACAACAGTGAGAGCCATCATGATCAATCGCACTGGCAAGAGCAATGCCAATAGCACTGATAATAATTGTCATCACAGTAAGAACACTAAACATATCCATACGCTGATACTGACACTGACAACGACAACAGGAACGAGACTGATTATGTTAGTTAGAACAGCAGACACACAATAAGAAGAAGGACTACAATGATAGCATTGCGCATGTGTTTCGAGTTGCAACGAGACCTGAGGTGGCTTTGGGGGTTCAGGACATACCAGCGAAGCAAGAAGAGCGCTTGAATCTTGAACCCGGGACCTGGCAAGCCTTCCAAGGCAACAAAAGCAACTTCGAAGTCCATCGAGTGCTGTAACCCCTTTGGTGTGCTGATCAGTGTTGCAGCTCTTGTGGCTGACTGCAGGGGTGTGCGGGGTGTCGAATTTATGGGATTGCTTGCATGAGATTTGGGACAGGCCTTGGTTCGAAGGACTCTCTCCTGATTCTACGATGATTTTCCGAGGCCTACTAACTCTTTCGACATATCTTTTGAGGCTCACGCTCACATGTGCTTCCCTGCCATGTCCCTGTTGTGCACGAGGATGGCTTTGGAACAAGAACATTCAATCTTCAAAAGAGTGCCAGTAGGACAGTAGGAAGCTAAAACCTTTAGCTTGGAAGGCCGCCCAACTGCTGATGAATCAAGACCTTCTTGCACACGGTCGACCTTGTTCTGCAGCCATGAACCTGCAAGCAAGCTTGACCGGAAGTGCCGGCGGTGAAGATGGAGCCGCCAGGCTGCTGCGGGCGTGCCGCACTTTGTCCTGAAACCTCCTACAAGGTCGTAACCTCGTTGTGCGCTCCCAGTCGCTCAGCCAGAGCATCCGGTTGCAGAGCTCTCATAACTGCGATGCCAGGACCAACTGGAGCCCCATCACTTTTGCCACTTGGACATGGCAACAGGGATGGACTTGGAGTGACTTGGGTTTGGAGATCTACCGGCATAGGACGCCGCGGAACCCCTAATAAGCAAAATGATGAGCAGCTCCGACAGCCCGCATTTGACCACATCACCATCTACCATAAAAAGAGCGGCGCAAGTGGGCACTGATATCGGAGCAACACTCGCTTCCTGTCGTTCGGCTGCATCTCGCACATGCGTTGTGAATCTATGAACAACAAAGCAGGGTAAGGGCAGGGTTAGGCCACGAGAAAAGGAGGGGGATCGTTCTTGCAATCATGGCCTGGCGACTTCAGGCCGGGGAAGTGGTTTCGCTTTCAGCAGTGCCTGGAGTGGAAAAGCTGTCCCGAAGCCAGCATCGGGTGGCACTGTATCCACGGGCACGTAGTCCCGTAGACTTGGTGCCATTGTGGGCATTTGCTTCCATGCCAGAGGTTTGGCTCAATGTATGTTGTATAGATCGGCCGAAGATGAAAATCTTCAGGATGCCGGGCATGCACCCCTCGCGTCACGCATGTGGATTGGAATCTTCGCCGAGTGAGTCGACAGGGTCGCAAACCACAGATTGCCCAGCGGATACCTGGAGCATCGAAACGTGCTCTCCAGCTTACAGCCATAACGCCGAGAATTGGAGCCGCTCGGAGGTACGCCACCCGGCCGGATATCCAGTTCCTCCCGGCTGGGATTTCGTGGGTGATGCAGGCCCAGCACTCCAGCAAGAATCAGGCATGGGCAGACAGCCAAACCGCACGTGCATCGTATCAGGCCCTGCTGCGCCAGCATGTACAGATGTTACGACGGTTACGAACGATGTTTTTGCTGGCTTTGCCGGCAAGGGCTTGGCAGCGGAAGTGCATGGCTTCGGTGCCTCGACTGCGCAGCAGATGCCGGCGCCAGCGTCATTTGGAACAAGCCATGATGATGTGTCACTGCAGAAGCGGATCAACAAGGACCGGGGTTCAGGCATCCTAGTAAGTCCTAGCATTCCAGATGCCCGAGCCCTGGCAGGACCTCACGACGGCCGCCAAGTCTGAGGACGAAGATCCCGTCTCTGAGGCCTCGTGAGTCGACGACTGGCGCTCGCTCTGCTCCTGACTCCATAGACCAGACGTCTCCACTAGGCTGTGCATACATGGTGGCAGGTACTTCGAGTCGCCGCAGTTCATCTGCACCATCTGAACAGTGTCAACCTGTCGACTGCGGTCCACCGCCTGGCTCGGGCATGCGAAGGCTCCAAAGCAAAAGCGAATCGTGTCAAGACGGAGCCTAGGCACTGAGACAGGCAACAGTTTCAGCGCTTCCTTGTGCAATTCCATCTTTGCTGTCCACTCAACACCCGCGCCGAGGATCCGATTTTCCTTCTCATGCTCGAGGCGACGGTGTTTCGTGAGTGAGCAATGCTTCCCCAAAATCAATCGGCGTTGCAGGTGGCCGAGCACAAGGCAGAGTGCTGCTTGTGCAGGATCTACTCACGTTGGAGCACTCTCCAAGCATGCTTTCTTGCACTGTGTGTATTGCGAGTGTTGCGTGTTTGAGACGGGACGGTGGAAGGTATTCCGTGCGTAGCAGAAGCATGTCAATAGGATGCTGCGGATTTGTTTGTTAGCGAAGAAAGGATCGAGACCAGCCCATGCCCAGCCAAGTGCCAGACGAGCTTGCAGGTCGCCGCAGCGGGGCTAGGCTAAACGGCTAGACAGTGACTTCGAAGGTAGTGAAGGAGGAGAGGACTACCGAGAAAGACAAGCGACGGACTGTTGACTTGAGGCTGTTTGAAAGGCTGGATACAGGGGCCCCCTGCAAGGTGCATTCAGGAACGAGAGCATGCCCCAAGGATCACTGATCTGAACACGCCACATTGCAAGCCAGTTGTGGCACCGCATGTGGAGTTTGCGTCAGCTAAGTCTCGCTCATGTCCAGGCCCAGCTGGAGTTACATGGCCAAGCGGACAGCATGCCTAGCAATTGCTGCACGATCGTCACCTGGTCTTGCGCTGTGCTCCGGTTCTTCCGGCCGAGCCTCTTCACAGTCCTGGCCCGAGTGGCTGCAAGAGATCTCCAGGCTCAGCACGTTAAAAGACTGCACACTTTGAGCGCCTTGGAGTGTGCACTGCCCTGCAGCTTGCATTGCTTGTCCCGACCCGGGCAGAGGAGTGCCAGTGCTATGAACTCACGAACCTCTTGTGGAGCTTCGCGGAGCTTTGCAAACGACAGCCGACGATGGCTGAAGACATGGGCGACACCATCCAGGTCGGGGCTGGGCGCTGCAGGGAAATGGAGACCTAGTTTTCAGAACTGATGTTACCAACCATGCAGGAGTTGGTGCAGGCAGCCGCGAGCTCCTTCCTTCATCGCAGGCCGAAGGCACACTCTCAGCCATCGCTTTCCTCACGGAAAGGCAGAAGCCTCTAGATGCTGTTGCCGTACAGGCCTGGACGATCAAAGTCCTAGTCTCCGCAGTGGTGTCGCTGACGTACATTCCATGCAAGGAGGGGGGCATCTGTAACGCATTTCAGCAGAAATGCGGATATCTACTGCACCTTTCGAGCACTTTTCAGCGCGAGGACTTCTGTGCCAAGTGGTTCATTATCAGCCTCGTGCAGGCGCGCGGTTGTGCTTTCTAGACCTTGCTTGACTTTTCTGATTCCCCAAACAGTGCGTGCTCACACTGCGGGGTTCTTGCTTTCAAAGTAAATTAAGAGACTTATAGACTGACATGGCCATGTCAGATCCCCACGGCCTACTATTTACACGGTATGCTCGCGCCGCGCGTCTCCAGCTGTAGTGCGGGGCATAGTTTGTCCTATTATTTACACTATTTACAGATTACACAGGATTCGCCTGCTGCGCGCGCCCGGGACCGGGATGCATTGTGCTTGGAAAAACCTTTGGGGGATGCCATTTCGGGTTTTTGTTCCTCTGGATGATGGAGGAAGCATAAGTCGGCTGCTCCCGAAACGCGCCGGTACATTGGGGAGTGCACTTTCGCACTGCTTCTCGAGTCGCCAGTACTTGGACAAAAGCGATTCTACTGCGCTCAGCACTGTTCCTGCATCCCGCCAGTATTTCAAGAAAGGGCGTGGGTGCTTGGTGGTCTCTTGGTGTTCTCTGGTGGTTCCGCGGTGGTCTTGTGGTGTCTCCTGGTCATCTCTGGGTGGCCTGTTGGTGGTCTCCTTGTGTCCTCAACGTGGTTGCAGTGCTTGTCGTGGGTGGCCCTGATGTTTTCTGGATGGTCTCCCGGTGGTCTCTTGGCCTGGTGGTTTCTGGTGGTCTGCCCCGAAGCTGCTGGAGCTCAGACCCGCCAAACTTTTCGAGTGCAGATGCACGCAGAGTGCTCTTGCAGCGCGCTGATTCAAACTGGTGTGTTCGAGTACATCAGTAGTGCGTCGACTACTTCCCGCAGGCTCCTGAGGCCTCCAAATTGGTGTTTACGAATGCAACTGGAGACATGGAGACAGATGTCGAGCGCAGAATGTTTCCAAAAAGCGGTGAAAATGCTGGAAAAACACAGGTGGCAACGAGTTGCACCTTGTATTTTGCCAGGCATAGCGAGCAAACATGAACAAACGGCCCTGCGGTCGTGATTTCGTGCTCCTATAGTGGCGTGCTTCTGGTATGGTCTTCCGCTGTTTGGGGATGGGACCACAGAGGAGCTGGCCGAACGAAGCGAAGAGGCGCAGGACACCAACCTGGTGCCAGTGGTGGTGGCCTTCGACACATTGCGCACCAGGCACTTGCAGGCGTCTGGGCCGGGCAGGGTGCAGTGTGTAGACACTCCATCTGTTCTGTTGACCCCTTCAGCCTCGATGATCTTGGTGCAATGCTTTGCTAATTCATGGTAGGCTTAAGCTGTAAGCGCCACTGTACGCTGGCCATCAGCAAGTCTAAGGGCACAGAAGACTGACTCCTTGATGCATGGCGGAGGCTTTGTCTCATCTGATTCTGGGATGCAGTTGTCTTCCAATTACGGAGAACCCTTGCGCGTTGCAGGTCTTTCGGGACATCTGCAATGCCATGAGCAGACAGCATCCTGATTTTGTCATGCGATACATGTATGGCGGTGCCCGCCAAAACCGAAATGCTAAGCAGCATACGAAGCGGCCGAAGGGCCAAGGTTGACTGCATTTCGCCGTGTGTGAGAGAGAGAGGAGAGGGAGAGAGAGAGAGAGAGTGCAGTTGAGCGGTTGTTGAGCATGTAAATCAAGAGCTGGGCTTGGCCATGGCTCCACGTAGATAGTGGTAGCCTGCTAGACTTTTGCACGCGAATGTTCTGCCGCCCAACCACTTGCCGTGGCCATTGCCTTGTCCATGGGCTCGATCCAATCCGCAGCAAGGCGCACAATTGGATGCGATCTGCCCCAATAGGAATTTTCCCTCCGGAGCATTTCATATGGACAGTAGCCATTGTTACAGTTACAGGCTGCTTAATACCAGTTGACACGCAGCAAGACCATTGCTGCAAGTGCGGTTCCCGATGAGACGTGTGCAGAGCAGGGGAGCAAAGCTTCTCCGATGCACGCGTTGACAGCTGGCGCCCTCAAGAGCTGTTGACGCTCCATCTCAAGTATGGCAACTTCAGATACGACGAGTTTCGGTCTTCGCAGCATGAGGATGCTCCGGATGTCTTCTGTCCATTCTACGGTCGCTACGGTCTGCACCATGGTCTGGATCGAAATTCGTAAATCCAGCCACTTGGTCACCCGGCAGCCAGGATTTCTAGGCTGCACAGACAGCTTGCAGCATTCGACTGGATCCTAATGGAATGTAACATACTCAAAATGGAGGGTGAGAAGCAGGTCAAGTGGCTTCCCAGAACTATGCAGAAGCCATGCGGCCTTCAAAAAGTTGGTATGACTGACAACACAGTGAGCTATAACGAACTTGCGAGGCACTGGACACTCCGTTCCATGGTCTGCCAAGCTGTCGATTACCAAGCTGCAGCTAATGCTGGCAGGAATCGGAAAATGTTGTCACTGCATCCAAATCGTTGCACCTGACGGGATGATGTCGTATGTTTCCAAGCACAGACTGCGAGGTGCGCATGCCTACGGCAACAGTCTACATGTGCTGGCACCGGCGCTGCTGACGTGCTGCCCAAGCTTTTGCAGGATGGAGTCCGGATGCCTGTCCGCACCATGCATCTTCAGGTGAATGATGAAATCGCCAACATGACTCTCGTGCCCAACTAATCAGGACGACACCAGCTGCACCAGCGATGCTAGCCAAGTGTGTTATCCGGATCACCGCTAAAGACAACGATTTGCCTGAGCTCTCCAGGCAGCGAGCTAGGAAGCGAGGACATGTACCTTTCAGCAGCCTGTCGTTTCTGCAAGTTGGTCTCTGCGAGCATGGGTATCTTCGTACGAGCGTCTCTTCTCCAGTCCCGTCGTTTGGCTTCCATCCCGGTGGCACGTCCTTTGTTTTGACAGCACAGCACACTCGGGTCCCGTATTCTATGAAACTCCAAATATCTGACCTGGCTATACTATGCTATACTCGACCTGGCACAATTTTGAACGCCGGTTGCAGGTGAAGAGTAATCCCGGCAGGCGCCTGCATGGGGCACAAAACAGGAAGGGAGAAGGATCATGAAGGATGGACGGCGGGAGCAGGCTGGGCGAGGCCGCCGCGGAGGAGATGTAATCCGAAATCGAAAATCAATCAACGTGCAAAGAGGGAGCTTGCTGAAAGCTTAAGGCTTTCCATTCGCAGCTAAAGCAGTGCCAAAACCAAAGCTGAACAGCTCACTCTTGACGCCGAGTGCATATGTGTGTGTATATGTATGTATGTATGTATGCATGTATGCATGTATGCATGTATGCATGTATGCATGTATGCATGTATGTATGTATGTATGTATGTGTATGTATATGTTTATGTTTATGTATATGTATATGTATATGTATATGTATATGTATATGTATATGTATATGTATATGTATATGTATGTATATATATATATATATATATATACATACATCGCACATAACCCCCACGTTTCGATCCGGGCCCTTCTGGCAATTCCTGAGGAAGTATGCGTCCTGAGCACCTTTGAAATGTCAGGCAAGACAACTCGTTGAGTGCCACTTGGATTGCCAGGTCGGGGTGCTGGGGTAGTTTCATTGGTTCTATGTAATTGATAGGCTTTGTTCACCTGCAGTGTTGCTCGTGTTCGGTACCGTCACTGCTGCTGCTGCTGCTGCCGTCGTTGCTGTCATTGCTAGCGCGGCTTTAGCAGCTCGTTCTACTTTTACTCGTCTGTGCTTCTGCACTGCTGGTTATGGTAAAGAAGGTCGAGTCTCAGCAGAACATGACCGCTTCTGTTAACGGTTCAAGTTATCCAGTTATCTTTCGTTGCCATCTGGCGGTTTATGTCCATGGCCTCACTAGACTTTCAAGCTCTGGATCCAGCCGTTCCGATGCAACCCCTGTAGATGTGTCGTGCTCGAGCTGCGGTCTGCTACGGAAAAACGTGCAAAACAACTGTCTCATTCCCGACTCGAGAAGTAGATGTTGCCAGCCTTTGGGTTTCTAAAAACAAGTTGTGGCACCCAGGCCTTTTTTGAGGAATCTATGCGCTGGCGCTTGGGAGCTTCAGGGACCTTTCGCTTTTTGACCGGTGAGGCTTCGGTCTTCGGTCGTGATCTCGAACGGCTGTGTGGCGCGCCTCGGATTGATTGCAACCGCCGTCCATCGTCCAGCCCCTGTAGATTGGGACCAATTTGAAAGTCGCAAGCGAACTTTCCGCGTTTGACCAGTGACTACTTGTAACTTGTGTTAGCAAACTGTTGGAATCCTCGCATGCTCAGCTCTGTTCCAAGCTGAAACTGGCATCATTCTCATAGCCCGAACGTGCTGTAGACCTAGATTCATGTCCTTGTCTCCCGTGCATCCTACACGCTGCATCTCAAGCCCTAGGCCCTAGACCCTGGACTCCACAGCTCCCCCCACTCACAAGAGTCACAAGAGCAAGTCTTAAGCTGGATTGAATTTTCAATGCTAAGCATTGGGATCTGTACGTACCAGGATCTGGGCTGTCGGGGTTTAGCTGCTGCAGGGCCCGCAGCTCAACAACAATCCGCCTTCGCTTTTCTTCGGTAGAGTTTTGTTTGCTGGCTTTTCGGATGCAAATCAAGTGCTCCTGCGATTTATCCCGCAATCTTTGCGGCTTTCAGACGCCCCTAGCCACCTCCGCACGTGGCTTCAGTGGTGTCATGGAGGTGGAGGACCTATTCTGGAGTTCGTTGTTTACAGCGTTTGGGCCATGCCGAGTGGGCTCAAGGTGTTGCTGGGTTCTCACAGGGGATTGAAATCTGGTTGCAATGTAGTTTAAGTGTGGAAGCCAGCTAGCCCTGAAGTTCCTCAGCCCGGTAAACCCACAGGGCAGGCAAGCCGTGGTAGCCCTGGAATCCTTTCGGCAAGAGCTGCTCCGTGAGAAGGACCCGGGCACTGAAAGAAGTGCCTTGGTTGACTTGCCTCCGGCCAACCGCGAGGCGTCAGCAAACTTTAAGTCGAGGGTTTTTTTGGAGTTGCGTGGAGCCAATCCTCAAACGAATTTGTCCCACTGGCCTCGTCAAGCCCCGTTGTTGAACAATCAGCTTTGTTTTGTCCGGAATTAACGAAAATTGCCGCCGCCCGAGGCCCCTTAATGTACATCTTTTAAACCCACAGTTCAACCAGGACATCTGAACGAGGAAGCATATGTAACCGCTACTCAAATCAGGTAATGGGAAAATCAGAGAGTAGACAGTTGGATTTGAACGCTCAACGCTGCCTACTTAACCGGACCTACAGTGGGTTCCACAAGAATTTGAACGAAAGGCATTCCGTCACGGTGTCATGGCTGCGACAGAAATTCCAAGGGATCCGCGATAGTTTACGACTTGGCAAGAATACGGCCACCAGTTTGAAGCTCTAAATGTTCTGGAGTTTCAGATGAAAGACTTACGGGTTGGGATTCAGGGTCTTTAAGTTCCAGGTTTCGAGCTGAGGGCTGTTCGCCGGCATGGAGTTCGGATACCGGCACATGCCTAGACGTAAAAGCCGATAATCTACGCAAGCGAGTTGTCTGGAGACTTACGACACATTCGTCCTGCAAACCATCAACACGGCAAGAAAACAGAACCCGAATGTTGAGACCCCAAAGAGAGAGCTTACACCCGGAGGAGGTGCCGAAGCGCTATCTCCTCTCTTCGCAATGGGCGCGACGCGTGGCCGGTGCTTCTGCGCTGGTTTTGATCGCCCTGGTGGTGTTGCCCTGGCCCGGCGGGTAAAGAGAGTAGGGCGTTAGAGAGTCCTTCGCTAGGGCCTTTCGAAGATGAAGATAGCACCTGCAGACAGAACCTTGCTCCAAGACCTGCATGCGCCGGTCATCCGCCAAATTTCAACCCGTATGGAAGGGGGTGGGGTTTGTGTACGATTGGCCCTGCTTCCCTGGGCATATCTTTGCGCAAGGCAGCACTTCGTGTTTTGGTTGGGTGCTCGGTGCAGGTCGTCGCACCATTCCCGTGGGTCTCGCGGGGCTGCTCGATACTACTGCGGGCTAAGGGGTAGATGTCATCGGACTGTCGTCGGGCTTCAATTTAAGTAGGGCTTGGCTGGCCTGCAGCAAGGAACAAAATCCAGCAAAGATCACACACTGAATGCCTTGAACAGTACGATTCCCGAATGATTGGATGCCATGTCCGTTTTGGAATGCAGGGCCTGCACGATTGACAGAGGGTCTCTCCGCTTCGTGGAAGGCCGGGTGGGCTGCAGTAAAGATAGTCGAGCAGTAGGCGAGGTTCCTTTGCTACCTTTGAACTCACGGGACTCAGGATATAGGTAGGGGACACGGGTTTCGCAAGTCGTAAGGCCGGCTGTCCGACTGGGGCTTGCAAATGACCCTCTACCTCCAAAGTGTACACCAGTATTGCAAGGGAGAGCGAGGATGCGCTTCGCGCTTGAACGTTCGAAGTTGGAATTCTCGCCCTTCGCGGTGCGGCCGAGCATTGGCACGCTGTCTAGGGTCCTTTCAGTGAGCAAGGAGACAAACAGAAACTAGCCGACAGTCTGCATGACACCCATCAAGTATGATTCAGGAAAGCACGGTCTTGTGTCAGAGCATATTAAACATCACCTCAAGAGCTTCATCTTCTGGATTCAGGGCAAGGGGCTCAGTCGCTCAGAGTCAACAACGCATCCACACCCTGCGAAATCAAGTTGACCGCCGCCGCCCCTCATTTGATCCCGACATGCAGCAGTGGCTGTCATTCAACGGGCTGTAGGGTAAGCCAATCAGATCCAAGCCCGCTTGCAACAAGTTCGGTGTCGCAGCCCGCCATCGCTTCTCTCTCTCTCTCTCTCTCTCTCTCTCTCTCTTCTTGCCGTGCTGCAATTAAGGAGCACAGCCCGGTCCCTGTAGAGCCCCGAACACCCGCAAATCCCACGGGTTCACTCGAGCGCCACGGACCCCAACTTGCGACCAGGCGTGGGCCCAAGGGGGTGGCAGGCACTCCGCAGCGAGTTGACCGCGTCGAAGGCACCGAAACAGGGTAAGCAAACTACAAGCGACTCTTCACCAGTCGTCCCAAGTCCCTGACCTCTGTACGACCCTGGGCGAAGCGTTGAATGCACTCACCACCCTGAACAAGCGATAAGAGCGAACAAAGCGAAGGAGCTTCAGACAGTGGGCCTTGCCCACATCAGCCGTGCCGTCGGCAAGCTGCAAGTATCGTTTCTGGGGTGACGGCATGAGATTACGAGTTTGGCGGACGCTTGAGGTTCTGCGGACTTATAGAGCATTCCGCACTGATTGTTGAGGGTTCCTCGCTGCCATGGACTCAGCGCAGGGTTTGTTTCGATTACTGGCAGAGGGCTTGGTGAGCGATGGGATCGAAGGTTTTTGTTGATCTTTGGGTGTTGGCCTCTTTGTTGGAAGTGTTGGTTATCCTTGCAGGTGTTTCTGCAAAAATGGAACGCAGCACTAATCCCTGAATGAGCGCAACCCCACCGAGGTCTCTGCGAGCACTCAAACATCAACCCTTCATTCATCCAACAACTCCGTAGGTACCGAAATTCCTATCAGGGCCCCCTGACTGAATGTTCGCTGTTTGTACATCTAAGGCTGGTGATGTCCTTTGCGTGATCGACGTCGCCCAGGCCCGGCCGACTGAGGGCCTGAGCTTAGAGTTTAGTTATTTCGTGTCGCGTCCTCCGGAAAGTGCAATCAATGAAGCCAAAATTCCAACATATTGGTTCAAGACGGTTGGAGTCCCGGCAGTAAGTGGAGGAAACATTCCCGCAAATTCCCGCCAGAACCTGGGGGGAGGAAGCATTTTGGCCGTGGTCTCCGGGTGGTGGTCTTCAGCTGTTTGTTTTGCTTGTCTCCTGGTGGGTCGTAACCTGAGGTTACCTGATGGTCGTAGTTTTCGCCGTCGTCATGTTCTTCGTGCAATTCTATCACAGTTCAGGAGTTCAGGGGTCTACGCTGGCAGAATTCCTTGGTCCCCCCAAGCCTACACTGCGTAGGCCCCTATGACTGGTCTCTCCTTTAGGGATGCTGGAACGGCTCGGTGAGTTGGATCTTCGAGTTTCTCTCGAGGCTTGAAGCTCTTATTCAAGAGGCTAGCGAGCGAGAGAGAGAGAGAGAGCGAGAGAGCGAGAGAGAGAGAGAGCGAGAGCGAAGATACAGAGAAAGAAAGGGAGGGCGGGGGGGTCATGAAATTAGGGGTCTTTTCTATAGGGCTGCTTGTACTAACGCGCATTAAGCATCTTACTACAAGAGCATTTCCCGCGTTCTGAAACTCTCAACCCTCAGGCAACGGGATGGGTCATGACGACGGGTTCCTTCATAAAGTTTGTCACCATCGCTTGCGACTATGACCGGATTCGGCGCGTGAACAAACGCGAGGCGGGAACCGCTTCAGGGCAAAATATGTTTGTATAGTCTGTACAGATACATATACACATCCAATATACATATAGATAGAGTTATGTGTACATTTGTTTTTGTTTTTCTTTATTTGTGGCTAGAGCGCTTGATTACAGGCTGTTCTTCAAGACCTGGGGTGTTGCGGTGCTAGGTCCTAGGTTCTCTCGGTTTCGGTTGATCAGATTAGACACGAAGGTAGGCATTTGTCGTCGTGGGCACCGCGGCTTTGTTCCACAGGATGTGTCTCCTTGTGTGGGCACCTGGCACTGCGCAACGTAACCAAGATCTCCGGGCTTGCTTCTGCAAAGGTAGGCGTGCACTTATGGGTAGGGTCTTGCGTGCCAGGTACTCGTACAATATCAGAGGGTGCTTCTAAAAGCATCCGCTTAGGCATGCAAGAACAGCCTTCCGAGAATGCAGCCTTTCCAAGCCAAGGCTGGAAAACAGGGAACGCTATGGACACTGGTTGACTTGTTCGAAGAGGCTTCTTATGGCCGTTCTTTGTTCCTTACTTACTTGTGGCCCTGCTTACAAATCGCAGGCAGAAGCAGAAGCACAAGATGATGCACCCTGAAAATCGTTGAACCGATTCTCCGTGTCGTCATATTGCGAATGGCTTGAGCACAATCCTGACTTCAAACCCAAGGTACTCTAAAACCAAGTAATGAGGCTCCAGATTCAGATGTGATAGGGGCATAATAATTAGGCTCCAAGGCCATCTCGGGACAAGTCAGCGAAGCGCGTCTCGGCTTGGGGCCTATTGCCATTGAACGCCTCGCCCCAAGAAAAATTCAAGGCCTGAACCCTCAAAAGGCAGGTTCTCTGAGCCGCTCCTACATGCCGGAGCTGGACGACAACAAGCGGAGAAGAAACGTACGATCTCCATTTCCGAGCAACCGTATTCCCATCCGTCAAGTATCCTCAAAATCCTGAAAGCATTGATCCCCTGAGCTTTCCAGCTAGTCGTGAGCCCGAGAGCCATAGAGACTTCAGTTTCCCACGTGAGCCCAAAGCTTGGGCCCAGCAAGATGCCACAAAGACATAAAGACTTGAAAACCTTCGACCAAGCAGGTGTTGAACGACGAGAAAGAGCGCTGCACTGTCGGAGTCCTTGGCATCCTCCTGCACCTTTGCAGGGCAACGAGTTCAGAGGTAATCCCCTTTGACGGGTGTTTGATCTGATCAGGCACTGAAGCAAAGCTGGACAGCATAAATCCTGAAAAGCGTGGAGCCACAAGTCAAAAGCCAAGCATCCGCGCTTTAATAGGCACGCTAGATCTAATCTTTCGCCGGCGGGGCATAAATCCGACTCCTCCATAACTTCGGGACACTTGCAGGTTCATGGTCACTCTGCGATATTTCTAGCGCTAACCACACGAGACAAGAAACAAATCCCAGCATTCTCATTTTGTCTCAGGTCGCTGGAGCTGTTGCTGGGCGTGACTGCATCTTCTGTCTCCACTTGCTCCTTGCTTTTGCTTAATCCGCATTTCACAGAGCGTATACAAGAGAAGTTGCTTGCGGAATGAAAACTATAAGTTATAACAAAGCCCCGGAATTCCTGTACTTGTTGAGCTCCGATAAGCAAATCTTAGGTTCCGGCTCGCTGAATGTCCCCTCCAACTGTGCGGCCAATATCGGCGCTTTCACCGGTGCCCTGGAGAGGCAAACAGGTACTAGAGTGGTTGTTCTACTTTTCTAGCGGTAGCTACTAGTACTGCATTTTCCGAAAAGTATCGAGTTTGATCAGAAGCGAACGTGAACCAACACCTCCTAAAACAATATCTGCCATGTGCTAGTCGTCCTCACGGTCATCATACTAATATGACCATCAGCTTTGGGTTGTGTGGAGACATGGTAAAAGCATTAGCTGGCGGCATGGTCATTCGTGCATTCGGTATGCATGCATCTCACGCGGGGTTGTGCTGGTGTTGTCATGCCTGTGCCGGTGCTGCTGCAATTTCGGCGTCGGCGGCGCTTGCTTTTGTGTTCATTGGTTGCTGTTGCTGTAGATGTAGTTGTCGCTGCAGTTGCAATTGCAGTAGTTACACGATAACTGTAGTACAAGTGGTATGTGGTAGTCGTCGTTGCAATCGTCGCAGTCGGACTCGTCGTCGCCGCAGTAGTCGCAGCCGTAGTCGTCGTCTTGGGGTAATAAAATCGAATCACTAATAACAGCAGTAGCAGTAGTAGAAAGAGGGGAGCATAAGGAAGAGGAGCATTAGGAGGAGTGCGGCGTTGTAGTTTGCACCATGTAGCATAAGTTGGTAGTTCTTAACTTATTAACACTAGTTTATAGTGAATTGTAGTGAGTATTTGATAGCAGGAGTAAGAAGCAGGTCACTAGGCATTGTTCTTTCGAAAATATTAGCAGTCAGTGGTAGTTAGTCGTATAGTCGCGTCACAGTCGTAGTATAGTGGTAAGCAGCAGCAGCCCCGTACCTACTACAAGTGCTCTATACCTGGAAAATGCATCCAGTTTACTCCGTATTTACCGTACGTTCCTACTTTCCTACGACCTGTTGTTGCTTCGAACTTATCGGCTTTGCAATCTCGAGCTTCGGATTTCGGAAGGGTGTGTCGGGGGGGTGTATGATAAGGACACTTCTTCAAGAGCCAACCCTCCTCCGCCAAGTTGGTGCTAAAGCCTTCGCAGCAGCACCTGTGTTTTGCGCGGCAGTCACAGTGTTTCCATATGTAGTAGGAGTCGTCGTAGTAGTAGTAGTAGTAGTAGTAGTAGTAGTAGTAGTAGTAGTAGTAGTAGTAGTAGTAGTAGTAGTAGTAGTAGTAGTAGTGGTAGTAGTAGTAGTAGTAGTAGTAGTAGTAGTGGTAGTAGTGGTAGTGGCAGTAGTCGTAGTACTAGTACTAGTGCTAGTAGTAGCAGCAGTAGTACTAGTAGTACTAGCAGGCCCTTTTCCCGTTTTGTAGTCCCAGGTTCCTCATAAAGTTTCCCTATACCAAACAGGGAGCCCTTTTTTTTCCTAGATTACTGGGGGAACCCTAGAGTATTGGTAGTAGTAGTAGTAGTACTACTACTACTACTACTACCACCAGTACCACTACCACTACCACTACCACCACCACCACCACCACGACTACTACTACTACTACTACTACTACTACTACTACTACTACTACTACTGCTACTGCTACTACTACTACTACTACTACTACTACTACTACTACTACTACTACTCCTACTCCTACTCCTACTCCCACTGCGACTGCTACTGCTACTGCTACAGCAGGACCACACACACGCCCAGGCCTCTTGTGGAGGTTTCAGGCATTTGTGCTCTAGTTTGCACGGTTGCGGGGTGTGGGGGTTGGGGGGGTCTGATGACGTACTGTTGCAGTTCTTCAGGCATGCTGAAATCTCGAAGCTTCAAAAACTGCTTTGTGAATTTTGTAGTTTCTGATGCCCTGAGCTGAAATATGCACGAATTCCTCGGCCCCGCCGGCACTTTCGGCACTTCACGTCGCTAATCGCACCGTATTTTCTTGAATAGCGATTTCGGGTCAGTTTTTCAGGTTCGAACTGCACGGATGTACCTTAGCTTTCCTGCTTCTCATGTTTATCCGAGTTCTGTTCCTTTCTGCTTTTCTATGTGAACTGTCTGCGCAAGACAGAGAAGGGCGCGCGCCCGTAGCAGACTACAAGTATCCCTTACCTTCAAAAACTACTTACCTTGTGATTTCTGACACCCTCAGCTGAAGTATGCCTAATAATTATGCACGATTTCCTCGTCCCTGCCAATACTTTCGTCATTTGATGTGACTAAACGGACCCTGTTTTGCGCATTCCAGTTATCCCAGCAGCCCAAAACACCGTAGGGCTCCAATCTGAAGACTGAGGTCACTCCAAAGCAACAGGCCCCAGGCCTCCCACAGGCGTGCGACCTAGTAGTAGTCCTGGCCTGTTTTTGTTTGTTGGTTTTTTAGCTTGTATATGTTGTTGCTGCGCGCAGGGCTACTTCATGGTGCGAAACTTTCCCACGTCAGTCCAAAGATGTCTCACACACTGCTCGCACCGTGCCACAAAAAGATTAGGATCCAGAACGATACGCCCGATTTGTGCACGCCGCTGAACACAAAACTAAACACTACACACCCTGACCGCGGCATTTGCACTGCCTGCCTTGTAGTTGCTGGTGGAGTGTGATGTGGTAAACTGAAGGTCAAGGCTTGTTTCTGGTTTCTCTGTTCGCTTCTCTTGCTATGTTTCCGGTGTCCTCGAAAGAAGAGTGAAGCCATGTTTGTAACACGCGGTCTGCATTCTTCCAGGACAGAACTCCCGCTATTTCGATGTGGCTTTCCCTCGGACATAAAGCCTTTAGACTCCCAACTAAGGCGGCATCACCGTTCTCATGCAGACCACGCTTGGGGCTGACCTGAACTGCGCCAAGGGTGTGAAGCAGGGTAAGAGAACTCCACAGGAAAAAATCGATGCCTTCGTTGCCAAGAAGGAGGCGCTATATGTCTAAGCTTCCCTGCCACTGTCTAGAAAAAACCTTAAGCCAGCGTTCCAATGCAACCGTGCAGGCACAGATACAAAGAGCAAAGGATTCGGCTGCACGCAGCGTGAACAAGTGGCTCATCAATGCGGGCGTCGACGTGGAGAAGTTGCCAGCTCCTCCTGCAGTGCCGACTCATACGGTCTACAACGCAATCAACCGATGCGTGGCTCAAGTCCAATTTGGAGCCACTTTCCTGATGCGGTTTGCCATCATCCTGGCAGACAGCACAATACATTGCCATCCGGGCGTGGTCGGCCAAGAAGGGCGTGTTTGTGCCATTGACATCACCGGCATGATGGCCACTCTGAGCCTCAGCATTCGCTTCTTCTCGTTGGTTAGCAACTCCTGCATTAACATTGTCGGTCGCGCAGACAATAATGCCAATTGCGTGGCATCAGTCGCAGGCATCACAGGCCAGCTTCTTCAACTGCATGGTGATTGCTATGGGGGCAACAGTAACTGTAGGGTTCAGGTTGGTCAGAATCTCACGCCAACAGTAGTTTCACACTCACGGCACTGGGACCAGTAAGGCTAAGCTAAAAGTGATACAGGATTTGCATGATCATGTTGCTCATGACGGCGCAGCTGCAATCCTACGCCTAAACCCTGAGACCCGGTTTCTCTTGGAGTAGACTGTAGACCTCATGTTAAGCCGGAAGGTGCAACCATGGCCTCAACTTCTTCTGGCATGAACTTGGAGGCGGCGTGCAAGACCGCATTTGGCGACTGGAACCCCAACCAGTGGCCGTCAGGCAATAACGACATTCCTGTCGAGGACGGAAATGTCATACTTCCGGATGTATGAGTGCTCGATGCAGGCCCCACGCGACCTGGGCTTTCGTGGTCCCTTCATACATAGATCCCAAATATGGGATGCTTGAAGGGTTCGACCAACTCCCCAAAAGCTGGGGCCCTGCGGGACAACGAAGAAGAGGAGTCGCATTGTGCTAAGTCGCTAAGTGTTTTTCTCTTGGGGGCCCCCGTGCTGGTCACACGAAGTGTGGCGAACATTTCACCTGCAGCTGAGAGGTGGCCTTCCATGGCCCGGGAAGGCTCCTCCAGGCTTTGTTTTCGTTCAATCTGAAGACCCCAATCCAGTAAATTTCATCTGCTATATATGGTTCTACACACTATCGGATGAAACACGTAGCCGTGACCTGTCGCAGCCACAAACCCTATGATTTTTCCTGCACCCGAAACAGACCCGTTTTGGGTCTGGAGTGCAGGAGCAGAATATGCTTCAGGTCCAGACTTTTTGAAAGCCGCCCGGAGGTGAGAGAGGGTGGCTCTTCAGCCCTGGGTCTTGAACCCTGAAGCACGTTTTCGGAGTTTCATGCGTTTGTCTGGAAAGGCATGCAGCCGAAACCCTACACCCCAAAGCCCGAATGAGCCTTTGATTTTCACCCCTCCTGTAGTATGCAGTCATGCCAAGAGACCTTGTTTGGTTTGTCTGAGTTTCGAGAGCGTAAAGCTTGAACCCAAGCACTGAACTCTCTCGAGAGTTCACTGCTCGAAGGCATGTCAGCCTTGAAGCACTTCATCAGCGTTCCAAAGATGGCTCAGCGGCTTTTCTAGGCCGTGAGCATGAATCAAAGCGCTGTTTGTGTTGTGTCAGGGTGCCATACTCTCAAAAGCCCTTACCGAAGTTCCCGCACCTGATTGGTCGGTGCGCCCCACATCCACCCACCATGTAGTCAATGTAGTAGCTCACTGGCCACTCCGTTACGGGTAGTTATTGACGTGGGGACGGCCCCAATCGAACATCACGCTTCGGCTCTAGGCCTGCGGGCCTTACGCACGATGTGTGCCGATGCGCACGCACGTGTTTTTAGAGCAATTCATCCCGGCATCCGAGCACCACCCGCCTGGAAGGCATCGTAAAAGACGCCAGGATCTTTGGTGCTGCTGTTGTGTTATTTCAGAAGCTTTTGTGATAAATGACAGCGGGCTCAGTCAATGCAAGGCTGGAACGCGTTGAGAATCAGGCAGGTAGCGCGAATCTTTTGTCTTCAGGTCCGAAAGCCAAGACACCACGTCCGAAGCTTTAAAGGTCGTCATGCCTGAAAAATCCGTCGTTTAAGGCTGCGTTTGATTTGGCATTGGGGTTTGGTTGGTGCTTCTGATGTGAGATTGCTGGAGATTGCAACCCCTAAACCTCAGGTGAAACGTTCTAAGGGGACTCATCATTTGACTGTCCCCTTAGAACGTTTCACATTGTCAGACTCCGAACCATATGCCTCGCCTGGATTGTCCGAGTGTGAGCGCCGAAACCTCAGGTGAACGTGGAAACTGCCAGAATTCGCAATCCAAGGCACCTCACCGGCATCACGACGTGCTTTGGTAGCTGGAACTGGCTTCGCTGCGCAGGCCGGGCGCAGATTCTCGACAGCAAAGCAGGATGGGCCTTGTCAAGTTTTTATATAGCACGTCGAGCCATCTGGTTAGCATGTCACAGTCGTTCAGATGCAAGACCCAGCTGGGACACCTCGGACGAAGCAGCAACCCCCATTAGGTTCTGAGGTTTCAGGCCGCAGCGTTATCTGTAGGGATTCGAGGTGTAAGCGTGAGGGCAATTATGCCAGATTTGGTACAGGGCGCAGGCTCTAAGTGCACGGTCTTCAAATCCTGGTAGTCTACTGGATAGAATGCTGGTTTTAACATGTTTTAACACAATGGGGCCTCTACTTTGAGATAGTTTTTGTTCGACGCCAGTTACAGTCCTTGGACGTCTCTTGGTCCTTCTCGAAGCAAGTAAGGAGTCCCAGTCCCAGTTTCTGGTTTCATTCGAAGATGCTGTCGTGGTCGAAGTTGACGGCTGTAGAGCATTCTCAGACGTGCGGCTGTGTTCTTCTGATGCCTTTCTGGCTCTCATGTGGCAGCATCCCAGCAGCGTCAGCCTGCGCTCACAATGCCGCTCTGACAGACCGACAAGTAGGCATCAAGCATCACGGCACATTAGTCTTGGCCTAGCGATATTCTCGTTGTACGTACTCCCCGCCAGTTGGTTTGCCTTTCAAACGGCACCGAGTTCCATGTCCGTCAGACTTTAGCAAGCAAAAAAGACCACGCAATGAGGTTCTCGTTTAGAGAGAAAAACTTACCGAAGCGCAGGTAAGTTTTGCCATCCGTCAGCCCTGGCCCTGTCCCTGCCATGCCTTCCTTTAAAACCTTCGCCGACTTCCAGAAGAAGGCTCTCGGCTTCAGGTCTAGCAGTCTAGAGTCTGGAACCCCGACATTCCGGATGTATCGCCAAGCTCTTACTATAAGTGACTTGTTTGATAGGCTTCTATGTTGAGGGTGAAGCTTCGAACCCATTATACGCTCTAGCGGCTCCGACGGCCCTACTGCCCTTGAAGCCTCAATGCTTCTGGCACCCGAAAAGCCGACACCTTGCAGGAACTGGGGAAGGCGGTCCCGTACTGTAGAAGCAGACGTTCCACGCACAGAACCCTAACCCTGTGGTGCAACGCAGCCGGAGCCCCCCTCTAGCCCTTGACCTACATGCAAGCCTCGATGACTCGATGCCACGCCAGCATTAGCCCGAATCCCTGACTGAAAACACCAAACAATCGAGCCCCAAGACTAGATGCAATCCGTAAGCAGAGCCCGGAAAACCCTTCGAATACCCTGAAATCACGCTCTGAGGCACAAGAAGCTCAAGCATCTAAATTGGATGGCGAGGTACCCCAGCAGCCGCAGGCACATCTAGTTTGGAGGTTTAATTTTAAAGCTGCCCTTTTGACGAGAAATTAGGCTTTTACGGCAATTGGAGGGTAGCGACAGACGCAGCGAGCGAGGGTTTCGGATTTGGGTTTCGGGCTTAGGGTGCATGGCGATCCTGCGATCCAGGTTTTTTACACAGAAAGGGCGTGCTTCGAGTTACAACTGCTGGACTGGACTCAAGTTTCGGCATGAGGCGGCAGGAAGAGATGAAGGGGGTAGAATCATAGCTGTCATAGCTCTGCATGCTCTGCAATGGCCAGCCTTGCCTCGAGAGGTCCCCTCGAGGTCTCACATTGTAGCATTATTCTGACACTTGAACTCATGGTTTCTACAGTTCTCGGAGTTGCTTTTAGCAGAATTTTGGGCCGCACCCAGCTGCAAAAGCACCGTCACCCTCGGGGCGACGGGAAGCTTTGCTGCCGTTTTCTCAAGAACGGCTTCTGCAAGACAAACCCCTCAACCCCATTTACTGAATCCAGGGCTCGGCTTTAGAGACTCATCTGTCACCGTTGAGGAGGAGCTGCGCATTGGACTCCCAGTGCGCGTCAAGGGGCTCCAAGCACGGCCGGAGCTCAACGGGCTGGAAGGTTGGGCCTCAGATGTAGTTAGGTTAGTGCTGATTGCGTGGCTGGTGGAAAAAATGGCGTATATGCGGCAATACTGTAGCCCGCTCTCAAGCTCAACTCCGGGACAGGGTTCGTGCTATGCATGATCACACGGAATCACACGTTTCCATCATGTCGGTGCATAGTTGCTGTACTTATCGTTGTCGTTGTAGTTGTTGCTGCTGCCACGCATGCTAGCGGCTGTGGTACAAGAGGCCAATACGGTTTTTGGCAACACACGGCCTACGACGGAGAGACGGCACATTGTAACCCCTGTCAGTCCTAGTTTTGATCCTGCTCCGGCTGATGCCAAGTCCTTCAGGTGCTCGCATCACCACTGCGACGCTTCATGCCTTATCAGTTTGAACAGTAGTCATAGTGCTGTGTGTTTGCCTGACAAAGACACAAAGATGGATGAAGACGAGTCGGACCAGAGTTGCTACGTACTGCTCGTGGCATTGTGGCTGTTATTACAATCTGTTGATGCTACATGTTGCTTTTTGTCTCTCTTCATGGCGCTGGCTACGGTTGAGTGGCTGTCACTGCCTTTCAGGGCCCTTGCAGGCACAGGATTCTTACGATGTCAGGTGACTGCAGGTGGCTTTTGGAGAGTTGAGTCGGGATTGTTTCAGATTTTTTTTTAGCTGGAAGTTGGTCGGTGCCCGAGGATGTCCATGCTTCTCCATGTCCGGAAAAATGTGCTCCCGCTTGGAGCTGTGGTCAATCCGAGGTCGCTATTCTCCCGCAACGCTCTGTGCTACCTTCTACCCCCAGCCCGAAAACTTAGCAAGGAGACCTAACGAGCTAATGTTTCCAAGTGCTGCCCCTTCCGCAGGCGTGCTGACATTCTTCGATGATCAGAAGTCACGTTGGCAGGCTTGAATTTTCTGCATTATACCAACAAGGGAGGTTTTGCAGGGGCTCGGTTGCATTCAGGAACGAGATCGCCATGAGAGCTTCGTGTATTGCAAGTGGCGCACAGGCCCAACATAGACAACAGACAGGTTTAGAGCATTGACTCAAGCTGGGCCAGAAGTTTAGAAGACCTGCGAATCTTTGCGTATACTTTAGACTGAGATATTGTGCCAACAGCTAGCCATTCTTGACTTATATTAAACCAATAATGATATTATTTGTTAAATAAGTATTATTATTGTTTCTAACTCCTACCTTATTCCTAAACCTTATTCCTATTATCCATATTTTATTAGACAATACCATTTCCATTTTCAAGGGTTAGGGAATATGGGTTGGGGAATATGGGTTTTCCTATGGGGGCGCGGGTTTATGGGTTTGGGGTTGGGGTTTTCTATGTGGATCTTCCTATGGGTCTTCTGGTGGTTCCATGGTATGGGTCTTACTATGGGTATTTTGGTGAGATTAGGGTTGAGGTATAGGTTGTTATGGTTTGGGTCTTCCAGTGGCCTAGGGGGGTGGCATGGTTAGAAAGCGGAAATGGCATCCGCTAACTTCATTATGGTTCTTTGGGTCGGAGTGTGTTTAGGGGGTTTTTGGGTCGCGAGCAGCGGACAGGTAGAGCTCAAGAACGGAGGGGGCGCAAAGCTCTTCAAAGCAGCGTGCTTTGGCAGCGTTGGGCACTTGCGGATAAGCTCCGTGGGTGGATCGTCACAGCTCTACACCCTCGTTTATCCGAGCTAGGGCAGCTAGGGGTTTCGATCTGCTCCAGGAGAGGTTCCTTGTCAAGTATCGTCTAATTAGGGGGCTTGTGGTTCAGGGACAGCCAGGAATCTGGAGCACTACATCTCTGACAAGGACACGGCCACAGCAGTCCTGAATGCCTTAAGCACCCGATCAACGTGACTTCCCCATCACGTTCTCGGGCTTTGGCTTCATATTGCAGGGCTTCAAGCTTGAGTGTGAGGAACTGACTTTGGAGCTTGCGTGCTCTTCGTTTGATGTACGGTCTGTGGTCGCTGCGGGTGGTCTTTAGCAGACAAACCAGTGCTCGTGACTGACGGTCCCGGGCTTTACTGTCACCATGGTGGTAGCAGCAGCAGCAGCAGCTGGTAGTATTGGTCGCATTTCTGGGACGAGTCGTACTAGTAGTAGAGGTGTTAGTACGAGTACTATGAGCAGCACCAGCAGTACGAGTAGCACGACTGGTGCGAGAACATGGGGTTAGCAATTGATTTTGCAGCTTGCCAAACAATGCCGACAATAGCATGGCCAGCTGTTAGCATCCAGGAACCAGGCAACTTGACACTCTGTAGAAACTCCTAAAGCTGAAAAACAGGATGCCTTGGAGATCTTGAAGAGCGTGCCAAGCAAGGACGACAGAAGTGTTGACCCCTGTGTCCCTGTCGAGTACTGTAGCGGGTTGAACAACGAGTATAGGATCCCCTGACAGGGGACTATCGTGACTATCCAGTTTCCTGTATTTATTTACCCCACAAGCCTGTTTTCAAACTTTTCACCACAGAATCGACGATGCCTCTGTCATGGCTGGTACTTCAGGGCTTCAGGGCTAGGACACCAGATATGGAAGCTTATGCTACTGCCCAACAGGAGCCAACATTCCCGACCATGCCGAAACACATGCGTTTCTTGACCTGGAACCTCGCGCTCAAGGCAACAACATCTCGAATCGAAAATCCCCTAAACCCACAAAGCTGAGACAGTTGCACCGTAGCCGCAAACACTTGCAAGACTTCCCTTCAAGCCCGCGTACCTTCGCCATGGGCTACAGTATAACGACAGTATGGTTATACAGACTGCCAGCCTGGTAGGTAGATAAATGCCTTTATACGGCTCAGTGAACCTATAAGTCCTCACAGCCTAAACCCTTAATGTCCGACCTCATGACCCCACGCCTGCCCTCGTGGGAACGTGCGAGTCGAAACCCTTAACGCCTAACGCTTAGTCAAGCCTCCATCCTTAAACCAGCAACTGAAAACTCACACCCCAGCCCTGTTCGAACCATTTAGGTCCTTGCATTATGCCGCGCGCTGTCTGGACTCTCATAAAGCGCTCACGAGTTTCAGCGGAGACCAGGAGCCAGTCCGTCCACCGGTGACACCTGCAGCCCCCGCGAAGGCGATGCCAAGTGCCTCGGACCTTAAAGGAAATTTGGGAGCCTTCGGAGTTTTTGTTGGTGTTGGAGGTTTTTGAACCCACGCTCAGGGTTTGCCGGGCACAGTGAAGGTGTGCAGATCAGGCTGTCCGGCGCTTCAGTTGTTACTGTACGTAAGTTGTATAAGTCGTGTGCGAAGACAGGAACGGAAGCAGGCACTCTAACCTGCGCTTCGTTGGTTGGCCCCGAGCGCTCCCGCCTGGCCAATGCCATTCGCGGTCCTCAAGCTAAAACTGCCAAGCCCAACATCCGACCCGAGCTGCTAGCTGTACCATCCTGCGACGGAGGAGCACATAAATCTGCAAGACCAACAGCCTCAAGCAGGACCATCCTCAACTTGAAGACGATAATACCAACAATACCTCCTTGCAACCCCCATAGCATAGCGTAGAAGTTTTTGGATTCTCAAGCCGCAAAAACGTTCAACCCTCCAGCATCCTCAGCCCCAACTCCAGATACTGCAGGGCCTTTGTCTAGAAGCTCAGGCGAAACAGTGCCGGAGCCTGCGGCAGCGCAGCCCGACGCTCCGAAATCCTTCTTGGAGCGCTCTCGCTATGGGAAGGACCGTCTCAGTGCTTTTTGTGCATTCTGCGGTGTCAAGATCAGGGGTTTCAGGTTTGGTCCCGGAGACTGGGGTTTATACTGCAGGGAATTTCGGGCTTGGTGTTGCAATGCAGGTTGTTCGGGTTTGTTTGTTCAAGGCGATCCGGAAAGAACCTTGAGAGTCAAGCTGATTTAGGTGCCTGAAAAAAGGGCCGGTTGGATTAGGTAATCTGTTTCGCAGTATTCCACTTTGACGTACTCGCCGTAGGACCAGCCAAAGCTTGTTCTACACTTGTGCAGGTGACGCATTGGTCATACGCTGTGATATAGAGAGCTGGCTACGAACTCAGAAGCTCGATCCGCGACGATGGCCTTCGGGTCTATCGGAGCTTTTCGAAGACTCCTTTAGCGATTTGGCAGAGAAACCACGAGGTGCAAACGCATGGCACTCACCACAGACGATGCCAGTAAAATCTGAAAGATTACTTGTCCAAAAAGTCTTCTGCAAGTTGACCACTTAGCGGTGTGTGCAAGGGTTTGCTCAGTTTGTTGCCTTGCCGGCTGCACTCTGCACGACGTGACTCAAGGGGTGCTTCGTGATCCAAACCGCACACCGCAAGCTCTCAAGCCTTGATTCCATACCCAAGACCCCTAGTCATAAACAACATGTACCTACACACAAATGTTATATGTATATATATATATATATGTAAATGTACGTGTATATATACACATATATATATATATATATACATGTATACACGGTCGCCCCCCCATGACAGACCATCGCCTTCAAAACATCGCTCCCACCGGCGTGTTCGTGCTTTTTCTGTGGTATCGCGTTTGAGCCCTCCGCACGTGTCTGTGGAACCACCCGAAGACCGAGACCAGAAAACAAAAAAAAAGGCTCCACGGAGAGTGCGGGACCTCTTTTGTTTTTTGGTGATTTATTTGTTTTTTGTTGTGTTGATACTTGGTTTTTTGTTGTTTTTTGTAGTTGGTGTTTTCGTCGTCATGGAAATCGTCCCGTATCACAAAACCAAAACACAAAAAAAAACAAACAAACTTTGATAGTTATACTTATATTAAAAAACTAATACGAATACCAATACTCATACTAATATTAAACCAAAACTCACCCGGATATCAATACTACCACAAAACTAATACTAAAAATAGACTGTGGACCACTACCCACAACAATAGCGGTACTAAGAGTAGAACTAGTACTAATATAAACTTACTAGTACTAATACTAAGTTACTACTACTCATACTAATACTAATGCTAATACTAGTACTAATACTTCATACTAGTACTGTACTCATCCAAATGTCAATACTACCACGGATCCAATACTAATCTTAACACTGATACTGGAATCAGGGCTACTACAAACAGTAGTAGTGGCACGAAGAGCAGAACTGAGAACAAGAATGAGTCAAGACTCAGATCAAGATTGGGACTAGGAGCGTTGCATGCACGTGTAGAAAAGTTCAAGACTTGCCAACCGTCTTGCAATTTAGACCATTTCCTGTCATATTGGAATTGAGTTTGGGAGAGGTGATTGTCGCCTATCTGTTGACAGGTCATGCCTAGGACGGATACCATCTTTCCCCTTCCCCACGACAGTCTGTCATGGGCGGTTGAGCATAATATATATATATATATATATATATTTATTTATTTGTATACAGATAGGTACATATACATATGCAATCTTTTTCATCTTTTATGCATGTATGTATTTATGTGTTCGCAAAAGGATGTAAGCAGATATATGTATATATATATATATAAAATACACATGCGTATAGTTTTACACAAACACATAAGTACGTATTGTATTCCACATGCGTAAAAAGCATGACTTGTGTGTGTATGTATGTCTGTGTGTGTGTACAAATACAACTTGTACCGTTTATGTGTATACATGTACATATACCTATACCGAAATCTATACCTATACTTATACTTATGTGTGTATATATATATATACGCATATACATTTACATTTACATATACATACTCCTTCACATACATGTTCACATACACATGTGTATATATATATATATATATACATATGCTCACCCCCCCCCCCCGTTGACAGACCGCGGGTCTAAAAAACACCGCGCACGACGATATTCTATGAAGCAAAGCCTTTACATGAGGTACATAGTATAGCACCAGACGTGCGGCACATGAGTTACGTAATAGTCTTGTGGTAGTATCGGTATTAGGGTGAGTATTATTATTAATATTAGTACTATTGTTTGCTGTAAGTATACGTATCAATATTGCCAACTATAAATTAGTGTTAGTGCTCATGTTCGTGTTAGAGTTAGCGCTAGTGCCAGTGTCAATGTCAGTAATACAGCACCACTGCTACGAGTAGTATCAGTATCAGTCTTAATGCTGGGTTTAACAGCAGCTTATATTCGCAGAAGTGCTAGTATTAGTATCAATATTAGAACTAGTTAGTTTTGATATGTTAGTATATTGATAGTCTCGTATATTAGCAGATTAGTATATCAATACATCAATGTATTCGAACAGTAAATTTTTTGCATACTTGTATACTAGTATATTTTACATGTTAGTACAACTGGTGCATGAATACACTACTATACTGCTGTATTAGCTTACTAGTATATTGACATACCAGTATATTCGTACGTTAGCATATTAGTGTACGAGTATGTGTACTATATTACTGTTTTATCTAATCATTTACAAGTATATCAGTATGTTGGCATATTAGTGTACGAACTTGTCATGTCGGTATTCTTGCATAGTGCAGTAGCCCTATATGAGTATAGTCACATATTCGTATAGTATATTCATACAACAACGAGAAGTATATTGATACATTGGTATATGGGTATGTACGTAGGACCTTTAGGGTCTATTTGACGTATGGCTTTGCTTTGTTTATCAATACTATATCAATTCAGGCTTTTCAGATTTTAAGGATTTTAAAGATTTCAGATGCTTTTAAAATCTTTTATTTTTGAAAACCAAGCTTTTCAGATTTTAAAGAGTTTAAAGGCTTTTGCAATCTTTAAAATCTTTAATTTTTGAAAACCAAGCTTTTCAGATTTTAAGGATTTTAAAGATTTTCAAGATTTTTAAAATTTTAAATAGGTGTCGGTGGCCTGGAGCCCAGACCTAACGATTTAAAATTTTAAAAATCTTTAAAATCTTTAAAATCTTTAATTTTTGAAAACCAAGCTTTTCAGATTTTAAAGATTTTAAAGATTTTAAAGGCTTTTAAAATCTTTAAAATCTTTAATTTTTGAAAACCAAGCTTTTCAGATTTTAAAGATTTTAAAGGTTTTAAAGATTTTTAAAATTTTAAATAGGTGTCGGTGGCCTGGAGCCCAGACCTAACGATTTAAAATTTTAAAAATCTTTAAAATCTTTAAAATCTTTAATTTTTGAAAACCAAGCTTTTCAGATTTTAAAGATTTTAAAGGCTTTTAAAATCTTTAAAATCTTTAATTTTTGAAAACCAAGCTTTTCAGATTTTAAAGATTTTAAAGATTTTAAAGGCTTTTAAAATCTTTAAAATCTTTAATTTTTGAAAACAAAGCTTTTCAGATTTTTAAAGATTTTAAAGATTTTTAAAATTTTAAATCGTTAGGTCTGGGTTCCAGGCCACCGACACCTATTTAAAATTTTAAAAATCTTTAAAATCTTTAAAATCTTTAATTTTTGAAAACCAAGCTTTTCAGATTTTAAAGATTTTAAAAGCTTTTAAAATCTTTAATTTTTGAAAACCAAGCTTTTCAGATTTTAAAGATTTTATAGATTTTATAGATTTTTAAAATTTTAAATGGGTGTCGGTGTCCTGGAGCCCAGACCTAACGATTTAAAATTTTAAAAATCTTTAAAATCTTTAAAACCTTTAGTTTTTGAAAACCAAGCTTTTCAGATTTTAAAGATTTTAAAGGCTTTTGAAATCTTTAAAATCTTTAATTTTTGAAAACCAAGCTTTTCAGATTTTAAAGGTTTTAAAGATTTTAAAGATTTTTAAAATTTTAAATAGGTGTCGGTGGCCTGGAGCCCAGACCTAACGATTTAAGATTTTAAAAATCTTTAAAATCTTTAATTTTTGAAAACCAAGCTTTTCAGATTTTAAAGATTTTAAAGGTTTTAAAGATTTTTAAAATTTTAAATCGTTAGGTCTGGGTTCCAGGCCACCGACACCTATTTAAAATTTTAAAAATCTTTAAAATCTTTAATTTTTGAAAACCAAGCTTTTCAGATTTTAAAGATTTTAAAGATTTTTAAAATCTTTAAGATCTTTAATTTTTGAAAACCAAGCTTTTCAGATTTTAAAGATTTTAAAGATTTTAAAGATTTTTAAAATTTTAAATGGGTGTCGGTGGCCTGGAGCCCAGACCTAACGATTTAAAATTTTAAAAATCTTTAAATTCTTTAATTTTTGAAAACCAAGCTTTTCAGATTTTAAAGATTTTAAGGATTTTAAAGGCTTTTAAAATCTTTAAAATCTTTAATTTTTGAAAACCAAGCTTTTCAGATTTTAAAGATTTTAAAGATTTTAAAGGCTTTTAAAATCTTTAAAATCTTTAATTTTTGAAAACAAAGCTTTTCAGATTTTAAAGATTTTAAAGATTTTTAAAAATTTAAATAGGTGTCGGTGGCCTCCACCCAGCCCCCACTCTAGCTCCAGCCCCCTGACCCCCAGCCGCCCGCCCCCACCAGCCTCCACCCCCACCCCCTACACCGGTTTTTGCCCCTTCCCTTTACCGCCAGCCCAGCTCCAGCCGCCCGCCTCCCCGCCCTCTACCCCCAGCCCAGCCCCCAGCCGCCCGCCCCCGCCAGCCTCCACCCCAGCCCCAACCACCTCTCCTCTCTGGCCCTGCTCCCTGCCCCTGCCTTTGCCCCGCCTGCCCAGTCCCAGCCGCCCGCCCCCACCGGCCTCCACCCCCAGCCGCAGCCAGCTCTCCCTCTCTGCCCCTGCCCCCTGCCCCCTGCCTCTGCCTGTGCTCCCTG